CTGATTTCACATTGACTTTGGAGGACGACTGCGAACACTTTGATATCGCACATCCATGGGCACAGACAATTATATTTGAGCTCGGTTCTGTCCTGCAAGAAATAAAGGAACATCTACCAACAATACAAGTAACAACTACCAGGACTGAGTTGGAGCTATCCAGCCTGGCCGCTCGCATAAACCTGGCCAAGCACGTATTTACGACGTGGAAGGTATGCTATTACCAATACCGGCAAGCCACAAAGCACTGGAGTCTGTGATAAAGGAAAGACTATTCATGGAGGAATAATTTAAAGATTATTAACATCCCAGAGAATATGGAAGGAACAAACATAAAATCCTTCACCACTGACCTGCTCAAAAATGTCCTTCAGATCCCTAATGACAAACCAGCTGCAGTATTTTACATTTACCTTATTGCTATTTCCTGTTAATATGTTTATTGGATACTGCACCAAACACCAAGCCAAATATCTTGTAAGTAAAAACCTACCTGGCAATAAACCTTATTTTCTGATTGTGCCTTTGTGATGAGGTCATCATCCGTTCTTCATGCTGCTGTAGCCTGACACCCATGTGTCATGCAGTATCCCCGTACCTTCATATTTTTATAGGTAAATAAAAACATACTGTTTGTATTACAAGTACTCATAATTTGTTTCAGTGCCATCAACAATTTTAACAATATCAACAATAAATGCACATATAAATAATAAATTATAAGGAACATGGGGAAAACAACAACATGATTACCTGGACAGGGGCTAAGAGGTGAAATGCTGCCCCCTATGGAGGTGGAGCAAGTAGCACGATCTTACACATTATACCTTTAAGGGGTGTTTTTGTTTTGTTTTTTTTAATTTTCATATCTTATTACCAAACTACAATTTTTATGAAGAAACTTTGTAAAATGAAGTTACCTTACCTTTTCATTTCAATTAGCAACAACAGATATAATCTGAACAGTAGTTTGGTGATGCACCATAAGCACCATTTTTTTTAAAGGCATCTTATCTCCTTTTTTTTACTATATTGGAGATGCACCTAGGTTGAATTGTCTGCACGGTGGCATTGGTGGATTGCTATTGGACATTTGTTTTTTGTTTTTTCTCTTGGAACTTGTTGGTTCATTATGTTATAGCCGTTTGCTATTTATTGTTTATTTGTTACAGTTGCTTTTTCAATGCAAAGGGTCTAAATATGCTAATGCACAGTTTTAGATTGAGCTGTGGCAACCAGGAACTAGGTGTTGATAACATAACTATATGGGCCATTTTTATATTATGTATTTTGAGGTTACAATGTCAAAACAGACAGACAATCAGATCTTAAATAGTGGCGCAGTTTCAAGTTGGAATGTGGGGGGATTGAATAGTCCAGTCAAGCACACTAGAATCTTATGCCATTTGGCAAAACTTTAATCAGAGACAGCTCTTCTGCAAGAAATTCACCTTACACAATTTGAAGCAAGCAAATTAAAACAAAGATGGGTAGGACAGGTCTTTCACTGAGGATTTAACAGTAAAAATAGGGGTGTAGCAGTATTGATACACAAAAAGACACCTTTCATACTTCAGGGTTCCATTGTTGACCCTGAAGGAAAATATTTCTGAAGTCTAATATTCACGATATTGCCCCATTTAATCTGAAAAAGTTCATGAATAATATCAAAAATGGTATCGATAGGGGAAATCTCGCCCTCTAAGTATTTGGGTTAAAATACACAGTTTAAAGATGATTGTGTTGCTGAGGATTACTTTCCTCATGGCAGCTACTCCCCTTCCTTTGGATAAAACATTTTTCAAAGAGGTTAATACAATATTTAGAGAATTCATATGGAACAACAAAATTCCTAGGGTTAGTCACAAAAACTCATATGTGGACAGGGAAATGGGGGGCCTAGGACTTCCAAAAGTGCAATGCGCATTTAACTCTAGATATCCAGGGGGTTATGGCTTTAATTCAAGAGATACAAGATGGGAAAATATGGAACAGGAAGCTTTAGACATGTTAAAAGATAAGGTCACATTGCAAGGGCTGTGGTATGGTCCCTTAAGTAAAAACACTGAAAACCCTTGATTCAGTTTTCTTGCTCCGCTGTGAAAACATTCCAGAATATGATTAATTTTAAGATTATTAACTCTCCCAGTGTTCCGTTATGGAACAACTATAGATTTACGTTGAATGGCAGGCCAATCAGAAATGATGACTGGGAATCCAAGGGTATTAGAACTTTAGACAATATGAAAAACATGAGTTTCAAATATGAGTTAAATCAACCTTTTAATCCTGTAAATTATAAGAAACTCAACTTTAAGTCATTACAAATAATGTCCAATTAATAAAGTCAGGCCAAGGATATACTGTAAATAGAAACAGGTGACATACATGTGCAGGGTACAATTAAACAATTTGCATACAATCATGCTCTGTAGCAGGTATAAAACAGCGGTTCATTGTTGGAGCTCAGATGGCTTGAGTCATAGTGATGCTCCACTGGCTGGTGTTTCAATAGGAACAGAGACTAAAGCAACACCATGTGCTCCTCGAGTGGCCGAGGTCATGTGTTGTCTACACCAAGAGAACGGTACAGGCCTGAATGCTTGACCCCTGCACTGAGGGGATATGGTGGCTCTGTTATTCTGTGGGGGGCATGTTGCTGGCATGGTTTGGGTTCACTTGTCGCTTTAGAGGGAGGGGTCACTACAAATCAATACGAAGTTGTTCTGAGTGATCTGAATCTATTGATTTACACACACACACACACACACACACACACACACACACACACATACACACACACACACACACACACACACACACATACACACTCACACGTGTGTGTGTGTGTGTGTGTGTGTGTGTGTTTGTGTGTGTCCTGAGCAAACCACAGAGTGACAGGTGTTGATTAATATGAGTGATGATGCTTCCATTTCTGCTCAGGCAAAAAATGCAAAACCCTAAGCAGCATGAAATTCTATCTGTGAGTGTGTCAGTGTGTGTGAGGTGAATGTGTGTCATCTATCTATCTATCTATCTATCTATCTAATCTATCTATCTATCTATCTATCTATCTATCTATCCATATATCTATCTATCTATCTATCTATCTATTCTGGTAATGCAGTTGCACTGTATCTATATGAATCTCTTAAGGCAGTATGAACTGATGTCTTTGGCCACTTGGGGGCAGTAAAGAAAACACTGACATTGTCGTGTGAAATCAATGACATTTTGGTCCTNCTATCTATCTATCTATCTATCTATCTATTCTGGTAATGCAGTTGCACTGTATCTATATGAATCTCTTAAGGCAGTATGAACTGATGTCTTTGGCCACTTGGGGGCAGTAAAGAAAACACTGACATTGTCGTGTGAAATCAATGACATTTTGGTCCTAACAACTTTGAATGGTTGTTTGATGGTTTAGACCTAGTTTTAAGGTTCAGGTTAGAGTTAGCTTTAGGTTAGGATCAGGGGTCAGGGTTTGGCATTAGTGAATTAACTGACTAGGGAATGCATTAAGTGTCATAATAAGTTATAGTAATACCAACATGTGTATGTGTGGTGTGAGCTTCAAAAACAAATATTAAAACAATCTTTGAATTTCCACCTTAAAATTTAAGGCCCTTCACAGGTTTGAATTAAGGGATTTTCATGGTTTCTGTTCATTTTAATGTGAACTGTGAATATAGGTAAGCAATTGAAAATATCTTAAAAAGTTGCAGTATTTTCCATCCTTAAATTCCCTATAAAAATAAAATCACCTTAATTCCATAATTATCTAAGAGTTTAAGGTGGCTCACTTAGTTTGAGTCCTATCTGCAGTGGCCAGGGTTTGAATCCAGCCTAGGTCATCCTCTCTCTCCCCCAATTTTCCTGTCTCTCTCTCACTGCCCCTTTCACATTAAAGGCAAAAAATAACTTAAAAAATCACCATTGAGTGAATTCGTGGAATTTAAGGTAAAAATATTGATGCTAGTCTGGGAAAGTTCCTTCTTCTTGAGGGTCATTTTCCCTCCCTTGTTTTAGATGAAGTCACACCTGCAACAGGTCTGCACTTCTATATCTGAGATATGGGCAACAATTCTTGGGCAATACAATAATTAGCAACCTTGATCTTTGACCTTAAGCCACCAAAATCAAATTAGTACATCCTTGAGTCCAAGTGATTGCCCCAAATTTGATCTGTGAAGCACGTGTGTTAAAAAAACATGCACCAATAAATAAAAGACAAAAGATTTTGTCAAATGTTCCTGATATGTTTTCATGATATGATTGAGTCTGCAGTGAGTCAGCAGTGGCATGATATCACTTTGCATGAAGACAGTCCAGCGTTGTCTTGGCTTCAGGTCACTGGAGCTGAAAGGTGAACCATCGCTCCAGTCTCAGGTCTCTTGCAGTCTGGAGGAGGTTTTCTTCAAGGACCTCTCTGTATTTGGCTTGCGAGGTTCCTGGGTTACTCAGTTTGACTGGACACCAACTCTAGAAGAGTCCTGGTGGTTCTGAACTTCTTCCATGTCTCAGTTATTCAGACCACTGTCCTGAGAACACTCAGAGCTTTGGAGATGCTTTCACACCTTTATATCTACATCTCACCAGACTTTCATTGTGGAGGTCTACAGAGAGTTCACTGGACTTCATGGTTTCTGTCCTGACCTGCAGTGTGAACTGTGGGATCTGATATACACAGGTGTGTGTCTTACTAAACTCTGTCCAAACAGCTCACATCATCACAGGTGGACTCCAGTCAGGGTCTGGACTCATCTCAAGGATCATTAAAGCAAGAGTCTGAGGACTTTTGTAAATGAGAGAATTTGGTAGTTGGTCTTTAATTAGTAAAAATGTCTAAGAACATGTTTTCACTTTGTCTTGATCAGTAACTGAGTGTAGATTGACATTATATTGTTGCTCAACAAAGACTTATCGTTCTGCGGTTCTGATGTTGTTTTATTTGTACACAAAGATGAAAGAACAGCTGAGGAAGGTGGGGGGGGGGGGGTAAACTCACATACAGAGGTTCAACTATGTTAATGTCTTCTCACAGATCCACTGGTTTCTTGTGCTGCACTTGAAGTCGTTCAGACCAATGAAATTAATCATTGTATGAAGGTCGCCACAGTCTTCGCCTCCAAATGCTCCGTCAGGCTGTCCAGGAGCCCACAGCAGACTGTGGGGGGGGGGTTAGAGAAATACAGTGTCAGGGTGCTCATCTTGAACCTGCATCTTATCAGTCTGCTCTCTGTCTGTTTTTACTGGAGGGTGCGCGTACACACACGTACACACACACACACACACACACACACACACACACACACACACACACACACACACACACACGCACACTAGGAGAGTTTGGCTGGTACAGTTAGATCTTACAGAAGCAGAGGAAGGCAATACTCCAAATATTTTTGTATCCCATTATCTCAAGATAACAAAGCTCATTATATATTATCAGGAGAAAACACGTTTCCCTTTTTGGGATTGTTTGTTTGGGCATTTTACTCTGAAATGCCCTCAAGGAATAATTTTTAATTCAATTATATCCTTGGCTCTGTGTGAGTGAGGCTGAAGTCAGCCCAGCAGCTTCCTTGTGTCTAAGAACCTTGCATTTACCTGCAGATTCACTTCGGCATAACTGAGAGCACCCGGTATGTTTCCTTTTAAATTTATATGATTTCTCAAAATCTGACACTTATCATAATTATAACATAAAAATGATGAAAGCTCATATTTTTTATCTCCCTGACGTGTGCACTTTGCAGGAAGCCAAGTCAATGGGGTCAACTGCCACGCCATATGCACCAGTACAGTACCACTGAATGTGTTATACACTACCAGCCACTCACAACAGTGTAAAGCACTCTCACTGGGGCTTGGACCTCAGTATAGGATGAGCCTTACCTGTCTTTGTTCACTGGTGTTCCATCCACCCAGATCCAAGTGCCCTCCACCTCCCTGTCAGTCATCCCGATCCACGCCACCGCGGTGAATCCAGTGAGGAAGTTCTGTTATAAACCAATATCCTCATAACTATCAGGTTCAAAAATTCATTTATCTTTTTCTTTTCAGATACACTGAAAAAAAGAAGCCATCAGGCTGTGGTGTAGGGGAGAGTAAAGGTACCTGCTCCTGTCGGCTGTTGATGATGACCAGGTCAGCGTTTCTCTGCACACAGTCCTGCCGGCTGTCGTCCCAGCTCTTCCTCTGTGAGGAGATGTAGTAACAGCTGGAGCCGAACATCAGCCAGCTCTGCGGACAGCTGTGTTCCAGTGTTTCACCTCCACACACCAACATCATGTCACAACAAAGAACAAACAGGACAGAACAGTACAGTTTCACAACAGAGAATAGGATGCTGCAAGTCAAAGCTATAGATAGAAAGAGCTCAGTATAGAAGCGTGTACATATAGCCTACATGGTGTCTTACGAAATGACTTTTGGTTTTTACTTCTTTATTTTAGTTTGTCATTTTCAGGCCTTTAAAGCTCCATATTTCCCTCTTCTTCTGTGTTTTATTTGAAGTGTTGATCATGAAGAAGATATATTTGTGGTTTTAACAACAGGTATGTGAGCCAATCAGAAGAGAGGAGGCTCTGAATCATCATCATCACTCCACACAGATGTCAAGTGAAGATGCTTCATTTATTCATTGCACTTTGTCTAATTTTTGTGACAGAGCTGCATTCAGTCATTCAGGTAAATGTCAGTCCAGTATTCACTCTCCTATCATCTATCTCCTATCATCACCTAGTCACCTCCAGGAATAAAAAATAATGTCTCTTTAGCTGCTAAATGCTCCATCAGCAGATCACTACCTTTGTCATTCAGCAGGAGTGGACAGTAACTAAGTACGTTTACTTCTGTACTGTACTTCAGTATATTTTGCAATATCTGTTCTTTACCTGAGTATTTCTTTTAGAAATGTCTGACTTTTACTTCTCTACACAAATATTGTCCTTTTGACTCCACTACATTTCTACGAAGGACTCTTACTTTGAAGCAGAGCTTTTAGTCAGTGAATGAATGTATAATGTATAATAAGAACCAATCACAGCCAACTCCTCCTCATGTGTGAACCTGTCAGTGTCCTAACGATGGCGACATTAGATAAAGATGAGGCAGAAGATTCTTCACCAGAGACCACGGTCTGATCTGAGGTCTGTGTTTGAAGGTTTACAAATAAAGAAAGATTTATTTAGTTAGAAAGGTTTGCTGAGTTTACCACGACCAGACTTCATCACTGACCAAATAAATAAATAAATAAATAAATAAATAAATAAATAAATAAAATGAAAACAACAATGGATCCTTTTGTTGATTCATTTGTTTTTATGTCCATGTCCTCAGTCTTTGTATCATAATATAGTCTTCTCCATCTACAGGTTCTACAGTCAGTCAGTCAGTCAGTCAGTCAGTCAGTCATCAGGTTCTGTAAATATGGATCAATACAACAATGAGTTGACATTAAAAGCTTTTGAATACTTCAGTATTTTTAAAATCAAATACTCCAGTACTTTTTACTCAGTAAAAAAATTGATGGAGGAACTTTCACTTGTATTGGAGTAGGGGAGATTTCTCTGATTAGAAACATGCTCGAGTGATGACACTCATACTACATATTCTCACTTAGACCCTCCCCTCACCAGGAAGATATAAGACACATTCAACAATTCTTTTTATTTTTTACCTGTCCTGAGCTTTTGTCTGAATTAATCAAAACTCCTCAAGCTGAGCAGCCAAATCAAAAGACACACAGCAGTGTGTTTCAACTGTTTTAGTTCACAATAGACTAAATATGCAGCTAATTTGTCCCATAGCTCAACAGAAACAACAAAAATTGGTCATTTTAAGAGAAAAGTTATTTTGTGAATTATTTTGTCAGCCTCTCATGCTCTTAAAATATATTTACTTGTTCTGTTCGTCAATAGCAATGAAATAATAAATTGTGCCCATCTCAAGGAAGGTTCTACGTTGTACACAAAACTCAATAACTGTTCTTTGATAAATATTATTACATAAATAAATAACACTATTATATTATTGTACAACAATGCATATTTTCAGAATACTGTGCTTATTGAGAAAAAAAGGAAACTGTTAATTATTAAAATTAAATGTATTTTTAATGTTGCAACCATCCCTGATCTGTATTCTTACATTCAAACCAAAAAACCAAAACAAAGAGCTAAAAGATGGGAAAACATGGAGCAGATCTGAGGTGACTCTCTACCTTTAACAGCTGGTTCACTCAGGATGAGTCTCAGAGAGATGTTAAGAACGGCCTGAAGAACACACAGCAGCCCGAAGCTCAGCAGAACCATACTGACATGTCTCAACTCTGCACAGACAGACAGACACACACATTGTTAACAAATCACAGAACACCAGATATTCACCCTCTCGTTTGATGATGTGCAACAGAAACACAGCAGCACTCCATCACTCACTCGGTTTGTTGCTTGTCTCTGCAGCTGCATCCTCAGGCTCAGGTTTGGGAAATTGCTGATATTCACCAACTTCAAAGGTGGCGTCGGATTCGTTCAGATGAAAGACGGCCATGTTCACGCAGCTGCAGGGAGGTGTGTTTACTGTCTGATGGCGTGCAGCACTTCTACTCCACCTTGTCCCGCCACTGCCCCTCCTCTCTTGTGTCAGAGGAAGTGTTTTTACATCAGAGGTTTCAGACAAGTTGGACTTGATTCTTTTTTTCTTTTTCTCTTATTAACATCTTCAGTATTATTAACTTTATATGTTGATTTTCATGTCTAACATTTTTAGAGAATAAACATTTTCTGGTTTGATTCTTTCTTTTAACAGAATATTTGATTTGTGTTCCTGAAGGATTCCTACAAATATATTTTTGAAAAAAGAAAGCATCTATCTTTGATGGGCTTTTTTTATTTTCATTTACATATTTTATCATCTGTCTTTCTATTGTCTGTTTTCATTATCCTTCATCCTGCCCTTATTTCATTGTACTATTTCATTTTTTATTTTTTATTTTTTATTGTAACGCACTTTGAGCTACATCTCTTGTATGAAAAGTGCTCTATAAATAGTTAATTATTATTATCATTACAAAATAACCTTCATGAGGTTGGTGTTTTAGCCAGGTGTTCCTTATAAACTGAGTATTTATTCAACTACATTCAAATTTAAATTCCATTTTCATGAGTTAAACTCAAATGAAATAATATTAAGTATCATTCAAAGTAAACTTTGAACTTTGACTAATTTGTAACTGACATGCTGAGCCAATCAAATCGAATGAAATCATGATGCCATCATATGTTTCCTGCCTGTTCCTGATCCAGTAAGACATTCAGAAAGTGAATCATTGTTGTCTTTGTTTTGACTTGGTGTAGAAATGTCCTTTTGAGAAGAGACTGAACAGCAGCAGCAGCTTTACACAACAGTGTGACACAAACATAATGTGGCTCAAACACACTGACACATTTATTCCTCATTGATGCAGCTCTTGAAATGGTGCAAACATTTACAAAGTAGTCTGGTACAAAAAAAAAAGGAATATGTACAATATCACGCTCATATTTCATTTCATGTTCACATCTCAACACACTCAGTTCATACCTGAAACTCCAACATTAGTGGACAACGTATGCCCAGGAGGTGTACATGTGGCTGTAACTGAGTTCAGATTAAAAACCTCTAGAGTCAAAAATCATCACTTGCCTTCTGTTCTCTGACTGTGTCAAAACAAGATCTTACAGATGAGACGGGATCAGAACACACTGTGGTACATTTAAATAACAAAGCCTGAGTCTCAACTGTTCATGTTGTTATTTAAACCTTAAATGTTCAAATGAAAAAAAAGCATTATCTGCAGTAACTAAAACACAAACAGCACGACTACATCGGAAATTAAAATTTGCGGAATTATAATGAAACAATAAAACTCTGCCTGCATGACATAATTTTTTCTCAAATGATCAATATCACTGACTCAGTGTGTCCATTGTGTATATACAAGCCTGTGTGAAGGAAACTGTGATGTGACTGTGATCTCCTATGGAACATTGATGGCAGCACTCGTCACACTCTATTCTAACTATTTCAAAACGCACGATTCTCCTTCAGGTGAAAACCACATACACAAGCAAACAATTCATCACACTCTACATGACCTGCCTGTTGCTCTACTCAGCCGTCACAGAATGACACCGTGTGACTCTCAGATACTTAATACCGACTTTTAAACATGTTTCATGACGAGTCCCATTAACCTCTTCACTTCACACCTGAATTTTAAATGTTTCTCCATGTCCACTTGTGATCAGATCTCACATCCCGCTTTACACGCAAATATAGAAACAATTATGCTATGTTGTTTTTAGCCAATTGACAGTTGTGTCTGTTGTCAATGTGTTTGTGTGTATGTGAGAGAGAGAGAGAGAGAGAGAGAGAGAGAGAGAGAGAGAGAGACAGAGAGAGAGAGAGAGAGCGCAAGTGGGGCACGGAGGGGTTGAGTGAATCAATGCGCTGTGCACAGTTCAACTGTGAAAGCAGGATTTATCCACTTGAAACAGTAAAATATTTTCCGTTCATTATAAACTGTGTCGGGACTAATCAGACTGTGACAGAGGAGGTCAGTAGAGTAGTTGGTCCTTCAGTGTGGTCCTGGACACATTCACATTCACACTGCTAAAAGAATGTGGTCTCATGTGGTCCAGACCACCTCTGAATGTGGTCTGTGATCAGATCTCAAATGCGTCCTCAATGCGTCTTGGGTGTGTTCACACCTGAACTTAAAGCTGTCCACTGGTGATTGGATCACCTGAGACAGACGTTAATACCAGGTCTGAACAGGGCCAGAGAGGTCAAGAGAAACATGTAGAGCTCACACCTCGTTCACACACATGTACTTACACTGTGGGCATGCCATTTACACACTCAGCTGTTGTTCTGCAGTTTTTCATAAAACTGGTGAAAGAGGAACTCCCGATTGATGCATTTCCTCACATGGGTTCTTTCATAAGTCCCACCAGCTCAGTGGTTTCATGAAGAAATCCAAACACGTGTGACTGGTTGTCACAAGTGATATTTCACAAACTTCACAAAGCTTCTCCAGTGTTTCAGTAAATGTGTGTGAACAAGGTGTAAACAGCACGTAATAAAAAGAAAATAAAAGTTGATTTTGATCAGGGGCGACTTTCCTTGTTCCCACAGGAGGTCGAGATAATTAGAATAAAGTTTTAAATCATAAACTTAAAAACACAACAGTAGGTGGTTCCATCACTTGGCCCCATCAGCTACTTGAAGTTTACATTTTATTTTATAATCCGTGACGATGCAGACTGATAAACATGATTGATACATGTGGATGATGTGTCCGTCCGACAGTCAAAAGACAGACGACACGTTCTTCTAACAAGACCAAAACATAAACTCACCGAAGGAAGTGTGTGTACACTTACGGAGTGTCTGTTAGGCGTCACTGAGGCGGAGGAGGAGGAGGGGGGGGGGGAGGAGGGGGGGGGAGATCAGAGTAAGGGAAAGAGTTTGGCGGCCAGAGAGGAGAGGAGAAGGATGGATTGAAGAAAGACGGAGGAGGAGGATAGAAAGGGAAGCTGGGTGGGGGAAAATGGTGAGGAAGGGGAGGAGGGTAAGGGCAGAGAGGCGGGAGGTTCATGGGAGGCACGTGTGTGTGTTGGGATAGTGTGTGTGTGTGTGTGTGTCTGAATGGAGGATGTTTGTTCCTCGGGTTCTGGTGCCTGAATGAAGGCCCTGCGTGTCTTGGTGGGAAACCCCTGACATCACGGTGCTGCTGCTGCTGCAAAGTGTTCTGGATAATTTGGGCAGGATTATCTGGAAAGAGAAAGAGAGACAAACATGATTCTTGCAGAGATCAAATCCTAGATCACATCTGTTTCCACTGATGATCTTAATACACACTTACAGTGTGTGTGTGTGTGTGTGTGTGTGTACCTGTATTGTTATTATCCCGCCTCTTCTTGGAGTTTTTCACCTTCCTCTTTGCCTCCTGCTCTTTCTCGTCATCACTGTAATCTAAAGCCTGGAGAGAGAAAGAGAGAGAGAATACTTTATTTTCACTACTGTATAGAACATGTTCACAGACACTGTGCAGATAATGTCCCTGTAACACTGGTACTTTTCAAAGGTTCAGAGGTTTGACGGGTCTGGTTCATCATGTATTGGTCTCTCTAGTCCGCACTAGTCTGACGACTAGAGAGACCAATACATGATGAACTGATGAAGCCGCTTGGATAAGAGGCGAAACGTCTTCCACAGACAAATACAAGTCCAGTTGCCTTCGATTCAATTTGAGAGAGAGACAACATGATAATGAATTACAGTGTGACTGACCTTGTTGTCTTTGCAGCTGTTGTTCACTTACATTCTCTATGTTAATGCTACAACTGTCTTTGCTGTTCCTCAATCAGAGTATTTTCATTCATGAACTGGACCCCGGAGGCCAGTGAGTCTCTAAAAGACTGTTTTGAGTGCACAGATTGGAATGTCCTGTTGGATTCACAGGAAAATTATAAAAGCAAGGAGCCTGACCTTGATAGAATGGTTGAATGTACCACAGACTACATTAACTTCTGTATGGACACTGTAATACCAGCAAAGATTGTACACTGCTTTCCAAACAACAAACCCTGGATCACCAGTAACATCAAGACCCTCCTCAACCAGAAAAAGGAGGCCTTCAGGGATGGAGACAGGGAGAAGGAGGACTACAAAAAAAGTAGAGAGGAAGCTGCAGCACAACAACACCAGAGAGGTGTGGAAGGGGATGAGGACCATTACTGGCTATAAAGAGAAGAACAGCCAGGCAACATCAGGTGACAAGATCAAAATCTTTTTCTAGGTTAATTCCCACTTCGAGGCAAAAACTTTCTCACAAGTATCAAATCAAAATAATGTAAATCTGAAATCTGCAGTTGTTTTTACAAAAAGCCCCAAACACATTGTCTTTGGTACAATAGTGGCTCACTAGATTGCTAAAAAAAATAAAATGTTAATGTTGGACCCTGACTCATCAAATTGTTTTCTGGACCTCTGCCAAAAGAAGCCAAGAGAACTGCAACATGAGGGGATGTAACTGAGTAGGTGGAAGAAAATGCCACCTCAATGCACACAGCCTGTACCTGGGACAATGGAGTTATGGGATTATCAAACGAGGATATTATCAAATTGAAAAACAAGATTTCTACATGATGAAAGCATCAGTTCTTCTGTGTTCAAGCCTCGGCACATAGAACAAAAAGTGTCTGAGAGATGCTGCCTGTTGTTTCCATTAGATACAGTAGAGGCCTCCAGTTCAGCATGCACAACATGCATGACCTGGCACAGTGACATTAGTCTGTGTGTGCTTACCTCTTCAGGTGGTTCCTGATCGTTCTTCCAGGATGCATCAGATCCCTTTAAACTGAAGGAGAAGCATTGTCACTACAACACACTGGGCTCGTTTGGTCAGAGATGAATGTCAATCCATCACATCAGGTGTCTAACTTATATATCCTCTGTGCCATCTACACAAAGGAGGAACCTGAATAACTGAGTGGAGAAACATTACCATGGTTAATTACTGTGGTTAATTTAACACATTAGGTTCTGTTACGGCATCAACCAGCATGTGCAGCAAGAAACGTGGGTTTGTTTAGTGTCAGTCAAAATACAGTGGAAGGCAGAGACAGCTCTGCTCCGGAGATTTATCACCCTTCTAAAACCTTTTTACAGCAAAGTTAGTGGGTATAAGCAGGTTTTTTTTAAACGTGAGTAAACCCACTAAAAAAGGCGATTGACTCCTTTTACACTGTCAGACGAGTTTACCTTTCTGCTTGAGTGATGTAATCACATGCACTTACAGAGCACACACACAGACGCAGAGGAGAAACAGTGAGCTGTAGCTGGTGAGCCTCCGTGTGAGACGCTTCGATCAGTGATTTTGTGTTTTTAAAACTTATTTCAAGGCTGCAGCTTCACTCTTTCATCCCTGAGCGCAGTGTAGCCACTATGTTTCTGCTTTAACAGCACTGTGCTGGACAGGTGACAGGTGTGTTTACAGTGTCTCTGAAAGATGGTACAGGTCGACGAATAATAATAATAATACATTATATTCCCTTGTTAGCAGAGTGGGCATGCAGCACGCAAACCCAGCACTGCTACTGGTTCCTTGTCCTCGTCTATATTACATTTTTTTACCGTTTCATCTCTAGTCATTGATGGTTTGATGAAGATGAAAATGATGTGAAACATATCTGTTCTGGCAGCACGTGTGAACAACACCTATGACATTTTGTACAATGTATACTTGAATGCAAAAGTTTGCATCCCCTTACTTTGAAATGACGAAAAGAGTAAAACAAAGAAATGTGTTTTCATCAACCCAATATTTATCACGTTCAGTTGGCAGAAATGTTCCTTTATTCTCAAAAGTAACAAAAATGTTCATAGACTTTATAAAAAGAACATGATAATGAAATAATGAAAATTCAGTCCAAAAGTTTGCATCCCCTTAATGAAATTTTCTCCAATACTTCGCACATCTTCCCTTTGCCTTTACAACCTCTTCCAACCTGTCTGAGCAGTCGCTGTATCCTCTCAGGTGTACTTTTAGCCGTCGTCATTGTCCGTCGTTATGCAGGCATGGCGATCCTAGCTGGCAAGCCCCTCTTATTAGCTGGCTGCAAGGTTTTCCCCTGTGTGGTCATCCGAGAAGTAGGCAGTTTGAAGGCAGAGAGCTTTGAGGTCAAAGTCTTCATTGATGAAATGCACTGTAAGACTCAGATAGGGCTCCGCTGTACGGCCTGACCACATGTCAGTTGTAGTAGCGAAAAACTCTGCTGCGACTCTCAGCTTGCATTTTTTATATAGCTCCAGTATGGCAACCTGGCTAAAGGGCCAGGGCATGCTGTACCGCTTATCCAGTGCCGTAAAGCCAGGCTTGGTCACCACGCTGAGAGGCATCGTGTCTTTCCCTATGAACTCTGTTATTGCCTGAGTAATCTCCCCGTGCCATTTGAATTACATTCATATGGAATTTTCGGTCAGTGATCCTTGTCGGGCAGTTTTTGGCTTACTGGACACACTGGTGGTCGGCATTTTAGCCATGCAACTATGGTACATGGCTTTGTGGTGTTTTTTTAAGTGCGGATACAGGTTAGTAGTGATGCCCCGTGAGGTAGCAACGGTAGCAAGGCAGGTTCTGCACAATACCTGACGCTGTGCAGCATCTTCTTTTTTAAAGCCAAAATACTTCCAAACAACCAACGTACTGCTCCTCTTTGACACTAAAGTTTCCGCAGTGCCAGGTTCTGTCGAGCCTGAGGTCATTGTACAACAGGTCAAAGTGTAGAGTGCCAAGTTGTTGCTCCCTCTTTTAGCCGACTGCTCTATGCTCACGATTAATCAGTCAGCCCTACCTGATAGGCACAGCTTTTTTCTCGCCACATGTACATTTGAATTATGTCCAAATAGTTCAACTTTGGTCTCATCAGACCACATAATCTTTTTCCACAACTTATTTGGTTTGTTCACATGCTTTTTAGCATCCTCTGAGCATGCTGCCTTGTGTCTGGAAGTAAGCAATAGCTTCCTGCCTGCTTTTCATTCAAACATTTCAGAATTGTGCAGACTGCGCTTGACTGTGGGGAAGCAAACTTTTAATTCAATTTTCCTCTAAGAATTTTTTCAGGTCACCTGCTGTTTATTTTGGATTTCTACGTAGCACTAAAGCAAATTTTCTAGCAGCTTTTTCATTTATTTTTCTTGGTCTTGCACTCTTTGGTTGAGTCTTAGTGTGTCCATTAGAGCCGACTGATTTATTGGCAGGCCGATTTTATCTGTCGATATTGGCCTATCACAGATATATCGGTATTGGTGCATATATTCTCCGATACGCACTGATATGAATACTTTTATTAAGGAGCAATAATGGAAAAAAAATGCTAAGCTCAAGTCAAGTTATATAGATTTACATGTAGATGTAAAATGTAGATATGCTGTACATTTTATGTATATTTGATTCTTTGTTTTCATTCAAGTTAAATATATATACATACACACATATTTGTTCTATGTTTTTTTTTTTAAATAGTCATTTACTATAGTTATTTTATTTAATTCCTAGTGAAGTTTACCATTTCAGTGCACTGATGTCATTTTGGACAATAAAGTTTATTGTTAAACTGTAAAATAAAAATATCGGTATCGCCCCCAAAATCCAATATCGGTCCATATTTCTTCCATTTCTGGATTTTGGTCTTCACAGTTGGTGCTGGTATCCCAAAACGCTTTGAAATATCTTTACATCCCTCTTTAGCTTAGCAAAATTAAGTAGTTAAATTTTAAATTCTTCTGACAGTTGTTTCCCTGCTCCCATTGTCGGTGCTCTCAGCAAACTGCATGAAACTGCTCTTAGACATCTACCCACTTGCAAATATAAAACGCAAGCGTAATTGAACACACTTGTTGCCACTCATCAAGCATTGTGGTGACAATGTTTTTTTAAAGACCAGACATCTGATTTTAAATATTAAAATGAATTACCTTGAGGACTTATCAAAGGGGATGTAAATTTTTAGCCTGGTGATTAAGATACATTTGGACTTGGACTCAGCTATTTTAACAATGAGGCCATACTATAAAAAGGTCTTTAGGGGGAAACATATTTAAATGATTATGGAACGCTATTTTGAAGCTTAACTGTACTAGATAGACTTTTTGATATTTCACCCAGGGTCTGACAGGGATGCAAACTTTTGCACTCAACTGTGTGTGTGTGTGTGTGTGTGTGTGTGTGTGTGTGTGTGTGTGTGTGTGTGTCTGTGTGTATGTGTGTTTACTTACAGTTTAAGTTGTTGTGTGAGGATGTATCCTGTGTACTCTTTGATGGCTGGTGCGTAATAAACAGTCATTCCTTCCGTCAGCTGCTTGGTCTTTATCTGATCCAGTGAGTTCAGACGCAGAATGTACAGTGGGCTGGTGACTGGACCGAACACCTCGAACACCTGAGACACGCGAACAACAGAGCGTCACTGTTATGTGGAAACCAACAGCACACAAACAAACAGATAACACAAAGAGAGTGGACAAAAATCAAAGGGTGGTCAGGTTTCTGCTGGTCCACCCACCTTGCCCACCGCCTGCCTATCAGACGTAAAGATGATGCTGTCATCAGTCAGAGGGGGCGTGTCTTTCAGAGACTGGATGATCACTGAAGAAATAAGACAGCGCAAGCAGTTAAAGACGGAGCCGACAAAACATCTGACAGAGAAAGTGGAGATGTGACAGTGAGTGAATATTTACCAAGCTGCTGTATGATACTGGAGACTGTTCCTACAGGCTGCAGCTCTGCATCCTCTGGTAACGACACACACACCTCCTCTACTGCTGGCAGCTCCTACACACAAACAGTGAAAAGAAATCCAACATTCAGTAACCCTTAAACTCTATGCGGAGAGACAGAGCTGCAACAGCAGCGACGCAGCCGGCGTGAACACACACATAAAACCTATGCAATCTGTTTTAAGTTCTATTTCAAGTACTAAAGCACTGAGATTGATGATTTCTCTGTTCTACATGTGCTAATAATAGTGATTTTGTCCATTTCTTCTGACAGCTCTGGAGCAATGCTGAGTGTGTGATTGGGCTCACTCCTTTGAACTGAATTAAACTATCTGAAGTGACTTTTCTTGGCTTAGTCAAACCTGAAACCAGCTTGTTGCTGCTCGCAGCTTTAATCTTGTCCAATGATCCAATTGAACCCAGAATCGCCTCTTGTGACTGCATTTATTATTACTTCTTCTGCTGTGGCTCAAATTGCCATGAGCTGGATTCTACAAAGTTTTGTGGAAAAATACTTGTCACTATATTAATGTCCAAACATGGCTGCAAAGATAAGACGTAACTGAGGCTATAAAAATGAAATAACAGGGTTTTTCCTGCATAGAGAATTGGGAGGTGGCCACCTCCGTCAAATTTCGTGCCGCCTCCCGATAAAATTCTAGTATTTATTTTCTCTGTACTCAGTGGATTTGACGTTTGTCACTGCAATTGCAGCTCTACGCCACTACAGCAATGTGGTGCTGTATCGTGATCCGTACATCAGGTAGAGCCATCCGAAATTGCCACAGAAGAAGAATACGAATGCGCTGGATTTTCTGCTTGCAGAAGGAGGCGGCGACCTGTTTTGCTGATATTCAAACAAGTGAATATTATGTCTTTTACATCCAAGCACACACAGCTTCTTGAAAAGTTTCCCTAAATTAACAGCAAATCCCTTACTGTATGTTTTTTTTGCAGAAATGTCTCAAATCACAGATTATTTTAAAAAGAGTTCGCGAAGAGGAGAATCGCAAGGACAGGTTAAACAGTGCAGAGTGCAGACATCATTAGTTCTTCTAATATGGGAAAAAATGTTACACATTACAAATTAACAGAGATACGGTTAATTTGTCAGGACTGACAGTAGGACTAGTTCTCAGGTTGCCGTGGAGGAGAGGATCAGACCAAGTCTTTAGGAGTGTATTAATGAGTGTATCACTTTTAATTCATCTTCCCAAATGTTCTCAAAAGCATAGAGTGAGTGGCTTTGATTTTCTGATTTAACACAGAATCTTTAGAGAGTTATGTAGCTATGTACAAAATAATCTGAGAAACAAGTTTTAAATCTTTTCATGTTGCTCATTTGACTATGAAACAGACAAGTTTTACGTTACAGTCTGTGACGTATGGAAAAAGCCACTCTCTGTACAAATAATCAGAAATATTCAACCCCCCTAAATATTGGAAGGATTTACCGATGAAAGTTTCTTCAAAGAGTTCAATTTTGCTTTGGATGATTTCTTCATCAGTTGAGTGACACATAAATCACCCTGAGATAATATTGCTGTTTTTAAAACCTTCTGCTAGTTTTATGGCCTAAAGTGGAGTTAAAACTTAATGAAGCCTTTGGGAACGCTATAATGATCCTTAATTTGCTTCAGCTGTGATATAAACCTCACCTGTGAACGTGTTCAAGGTGAGTAGCAATCATGAGTAAGACGAAGAAGAAGCTTTCATAAAAGCTGAGGGAGGAAATTATTTCATTGCACCTGAAGGGCACTGGGTAGATGATTTCTTAAAGGTTTAACATTCCAAGAGACACCATTGGGAACATTATAAGGAAGTTTAAAAAAATATGGCACAGCTGCAAACCTGTCTGGCCACGGGAGAAAGCCCAAAATCTCATCAAGAGCCCTCAGCAACTTAATCAAGACAACTGAGAAAAAATCTTGACTAGAATATGCCAGGAGGAATTTGGATAGGACTGCAGAGTTTTGGGAGACAGGTCTATGAACTGATGAAATTTAACAAGTCTGGTTTATGACCAGAGGAATACCATCCCCATGGTCAAGCATGGAGGTGGGTCATTGATGATGTGGGGATGTTTTTATGCTGCAGACACAGCCAATCTTGTACCTGGCATAATGGATTCCAAAAACTACCAGGAAATTTTAAAGATGAACGTGATGGCTTCTGTTGGGAAAATGAACCTTGGTGATCATTGGACTCTCCAGCAAGACAATGATCCCAAGCACAACTCCAAGTCACACCAGAGCTTGGTTGAGAAATAGATCCTGGAATGTCCTGGAGTGGCCTTTTCAGTTCCCGGATTTAAATCCGATTGAAAATCTTTGTTGGGATTTAAAGAGGGCAGTTGCAGCATGGACACCATCAGCATCCATGAGCTAGAGGCTTTAGCACGTGAAGAATGGGCAAAGATTCCAGCGGACAGGTGTATGACACTTGTCAGCCCTTACTGAAAACACTTATTAGAAGTTATAAAGGCTAAAGGATGGTCCACTAATAATGCACATGCACATTTGTGAAAAGAGTTACATTTTTCATGTGAACTCAAAGTTAAGTCAATTTATGTTCTCAAAATAACAAAAATATGTATCAATAAATATTTTTTGTTGTTTGATGAAGCTTCTCTCGTATATTCCCATTAACCTTGATTCACATCACTATAACGTCTTTTGAGGTGAGGGGGTTGAATATTTGCGACTGTATCTACAATTTACTGACAAGACCCATTTTACTGTCCTTCTGTCCTCTTGAGCGTGGAGGAGAAACACAGAACACAAACAGACGAACCTCGAGCAGGACTTCGTCTCTGGTTTTGATGGGGGCTGGTTGGCTGAAACCCTCATCGTCGTCATCCTCAAATACTGGGGCAGAGGGAGAAGAGGAGGACGAGGAAGAAGAGGACGATGAGGAGGAAGAGGAGGAGCTGTCACTGAGAGGATAAGAAGAGCATCAGAGTTATTCATTTCCTTTCTGCTTCCTGTTGCTCACTTTTCTGGCATCAGATAACTGTTGGTGCAAGATATGGGCAGCCATCATCATCCTTCTGTCAAATAGTTGTGTATGTGGGTGTAAATACCTGTCTGAATCCTCGGAGTCATCATCATCACACTCCTCTGTCTTACACACAGTGGTCAAAGAAAGCAACACTGCAGTAGAGTCTGTAAGTACAGCTTGTTTTTCCTCCGACTGTGTTTGTGTATTTGACAGGTCCTCACCGTCAGAGGTTACAGTGAGACTAACAGGTTGTGTTGTCTCGGTAACCTCCATCTCCTCCTCCTGTGTCGGTAAAGTCTCTCCATTTTCCTTGAATAGTTTTTCATCCATCTGAAATGTTACATTTTAAATCATTTAACAAGATACCAAATTAGTTAAAACATTTTATATAACATAAATGTTGAACGTGTATAAATTGCATTAATGCACAATATAACAAAAATGATAACCTTAATATCTAGGGTTGAGCTGAAACATACACATCTTCTGATTTTCTAATTCCTATCTGACAATAAAGTTGAATGAATCCATTCATTGAATACATAACTGTCAGAATAATCAATAATCAATTATCCCTGGTCTAGACTCCAATTTTATGATCCATTGTCTGTTTATATAAATGGCATCTATAGTTGGATACCCGACTTGCTATAAAAATGCAGACAACACGGTGAATAAAAACAGGAGTAAATTGGTTTAAGAAAAACTCAACATTAAAACTATCTGCCATCATCTACACTGACTGCAAAATGATGTCACTCCTGTGACAAGCCACAAATACCAGTAAAGTCGACAGACATGTCATAGAAACATGTGGCAAAACTGAGATAACACAAACATAAAATATTCTTACTTACAAGCACGTTAGCGTCAGTCGGCTAATTAGCTAAGGAGCTAACCGTGGCTAACAGTGTTAAATTCAATTTACGACACGTCATCAACAGCCACGAGCCTGGATGAACCAAGAGGCTTTCCTCCAACAACTTCCATAAACAGTCTGTGAACAGAGTGAGAGTGTTTCTGTTAAAATAATACCTGTGTTTGAGAAGCTACCAAACCCGGGTAGCGAACAACCTCATGGAACTCTGGACCAGAGTCTGTTAAACAGAACGACTCATACTACTTCCACTATTACCCTTCAAAATACAAGCCTCGCTGAGAGCACAATTTAAGAATCACCGCTACACGAGTATGAATTACAATCTAAACACAATATTGGACGTTAACCAAGGGAAAATTGTATAAAAATACCAGATCACTATTTATTTTGTCCTTTTTTACAGCAGTAGCCTGCATAATGCATTAGATAAGTATAGGGAGTGATTAGCCAAGACAATAAGGAAAACGCATTTTATGTTATTAATATAAAAAAATCATATCGCATTGTAAATGACCATATATTAAAGAATTGTACATGAAAAATACATGACGTTAGAAGTTCGTACATCCTTCCACGAGAAAATCCTTTATTTTATTTTGAAGGCAAAATGTTGTAATTCCGGTGGTAATCGAGAACTTGGCTTCTCCACCGCGTTATTTCTTCCCACCTCTCGCCTCTACCCTGCCTGTGATTGGCAGACCCTGACATTCTTATCGTCACAATAACCTATCATCACTCTTCTTGCCTAAACCAACCAACCCAACCAACCAAGACAACGAGCAGAGGCGGGCCCTAGCCGGGCCACTGTTCGATCACTTCGGGTGGGAAAAAATAAGGCATTCACTTCCCCTATAGGCCACCATCAATGCGTGCGACAAGAATGTCCACGTGGGGTTATGTTTTTCAGCTCGCGCGCAAGACTGATGTGCAGTCGAAATCAACTGGTGCAAAATAGTCATAGTGAAATGATATCATCAGTACTACTACTACTACTAATAATACTATTTTTTTTAATGCACGTCTGTCTACCATGCTTTTCTATTGTACTAAATACTAGTAAATGGTAAATACGTTTATTTACATTGTGAATGTTAAGTTAATGTTTAAAAGAGGAAATACATTAGATAGATAGATAGATAGATAGATAGATAGATAGATAGATAGATAGATAGATAGATAGATACTTTATTTATTCCCTAGGGCAAATTCATGTGTCCATTAGCTCATTGTTGATTATTATAATAATAACAATAATAACAATGATAATAATAATAGTTAATAATAAATAAACAATAATTAGATTAATCCACATCCTTTGGCTGAGTTCTTGTATAGCCTGATGGCAGTGGGAACAAAGGATCTCCTGAACCTCTCTGTTCTGCAGCGCAGTGAGATGAGACATTTGCTGCAGCTGTAGCTGCTTCTCTGTCCTGCCAGAATGTTGTGGAGAGGATGGTTGGTATTGTCCAAGATGGCCTCCATCTTACATTGCATGCATCTCTCCACAACAGTCCTGAGTGAGTCCAGACTCCTGCCAAGCACAGACCCAGCCTTTTTGACCAGCTTGTCCAGTCTCTTTGTGTTCATGTCTGACATGCTGCTGCCCCAGCAGACTGCAGCACAAAAGAGTACACTGGCCACCACTGACTGATAAAATGTGTAGTATTTCACTGCAGACGTCAAAGGACCTGAGCCTCCTGAGGAAAAAGAGCCAGCTCTGCCCCTTCAGGTAGATGACATCTGTGTTCATGGACCAGTCCAGTTTACTGTCCAGGTGAACACCTTGATATTTATAAGTGTGCAGCACCTCAGTGTCCTCCCTCGAATGTTCACTGGCTGAAGGGTGGGCCTAGACCCCTGAAAGTCGATGACCATCTCCTTGGTCTTGGAGGTGTTCAGAAGGACGCAGTTCTTGTCGCTCCATTCACTGAAGGCTGTATACAGGGTGAACAGGATCGGAGCCAGAACAGTCCCCTGTGGAACCCCAGTGCTGCTCATCACTGTCCCTGAGACACAGTTACCCAGCCTGACGTACTTTGGTCGTCTTGTCAGGTAATCCACAATCCAGGATGTGAAGCAGGGATCCATCCCGATCCCTTCCAGCTTGTCTTTAAGGATGGGGGGTTGGATGTTGTTAAATGCACTTGAGAAATTAAAGAACATAATCCTCATGTAACCACCTGGCTCATCCAAGTAAGAATGGTGGAGCATGTAAAGGACGGAATCATCCACTCCAATATGTTCTTTGTAGGCGAACTATATCTTAACATTTGACCTCTTCTTTTTCCCTTTTAAAAAAAATAATTTTGGAATCAAAACAGGGAATTGATAAGAGCTGGAACTGACCGCAGAATTGGAATCGATAAAATTCCAGTCCAGTCTGCGTTTTACTTTGAGATGTTCCGATCCCATTTATTTGAATTAAGGTTGACAAAATATTACGAACACTTCTCAGTTACAGACTTACAGCCAAAAAGGACCATTAAAATAAATCAGCATCTTAAACATACTGAATAAAAACTGAACATTATAATCCATTAAGAGAGCATTCATCGCAGGCCTGTTGTATTATACTGTGATAGTTTTATCTAAGTGTACCTAATACATTAACATGTGAGTGTGAATTAATTCACTGATTGTGAGTCATAGAAACCCTTTCTCTGAACTCGATATTCAGTATTTTTACTGAAGAACTTGACTTAAAATTTTAAAATGGGCTTTGACATGGATTTATTTCACTAGTATGCAGTTAAGAAAATCTCTGTTTATGTATCAGAAAGGAAATTCTTAAAAACAATTGACAGGCTGTAACAACAGCAAAAAGCCATTTTCTCACTTACATGGCTGTTAACAACCAGCTAGTCTCCAACACAGTAAAAATCAAGACCTGATACAGAGAGGACTAATCAATATCTCAGTTGACATGTCCACAGCCAAGATGTTGAGTAGAATTGTTTCGTTTTGTGAAGCAGGGTCTGTTTGCTGCTTACGCTGCACTTTTGCATATATTGAACTTTATTATTATCAACACATCAGAAAACTGTTTAAAATGTTAAATATCACTGTATTAGTATATATCCTCAACTTTACATGAGGACTAGGATGCAGATAGAATTTCACTTTATCAAATATGACCAGTAGGTGGCAGCATAACCCTGTTTAATGAATCCAGGCTCTGACAACAAGGCCTCTGGGTTGTGCAGTGAAATGAGATTTAAGTCTTCTCATAAAATAAAACAACATCATCTGGATCATTGAACATTATGTGACATTTTGAAACTGTTTGTAGCTGCTTTGGCCCAGAAACCGTAAAACTTGAAAAACACAATTTTGATCTTTATGTAATCCTGTACTAAAAAGATCAACATGATTTAATTTTATATAATTTCCCAGATACATGATCAGGGTTTCTCTTACAATGTAGGTCACCAATAGTGGAACCCTGTTCACTACAGACGTAGAAATCATAAATCATTTACAGGTTTGGTGGCTCCGCTCAGAGCTGAAGGCAGGAGTGGAGCGGAGGGGAAATCAACACCGTACACTGATGGATTTTCGGATGTGTGTGTGTGTGTGTGTGTGTGTGTGTGTGTGTGTGTATTTCTGCGTGGTTGAGCAAATATCACTATCCAAGAAATGTGTGAAAACCTTTTGTTTTCGTACGCTCTCTGCTTCAGAATAGCCAGGCTGTGGTCAACTGCTCTTAAAACGGCTCAGTTTACAAAATGTCCTTTCATGACCTCTCCTTGGCTGAATGTCAGTACGAGCCTCTGGTGTTGTTCAAACTCCTGTGAGGAAATGACATTTCTAATTATAGGAATTCATATATTTCTTTTTTCTGTCAGGACCCCCACATCCATTCTGTCTGGTGTCAAAAATACAGAAATCGTCTCCAGCATAGTCTGTTGGAACACACATTTTCCAGTTGTTCACCTGGCCGCAGGGTCAAATAAATACTACATAAAATCAGCTGATGCTGGCCCTGAATGGCCGTATTGTTACTGAGCTAATCGACTGGCACTGGCTGAGTGCCGCCGTTTCAGCAACGCTCAAAGCCAACTCACACTTCAAACAGCTCCTTAGTGCGGCGCCACTTTGCACCAGTCTGTGATGCTTTTGAAGACAAAATGACACAAATGATTCCAGTTCCTGCTCCACGTCAGCACTGAGAATAATTCTACAACAATCCCACTAGCCTTCATATTTACATGCACCAAAGGAGCTGAAAAATGTGCCGTTGTTGTCGGTGTGGATGATTCATCTCACCAGAATGCTAGAGTTGTACTGGCATCTGAATCCAAGTGGATGGGAAGTGGAACAGTGATATGTCTCACTGAGATACTGTCTCTGTGTCCTATGATGATAACATTGTATGAGCCGGGCCTCTAACACCGTTTGCCATTGTCTTACAGGACAAATCAGAGAGCAGAGAAATTCCTAATAAGCTCACTCAAAGAGAACCTTGAAAACCTTTGTTTTCCTGCTTAAAAACAATTCAGCCTCGTTTATCCTGGTGACCCAGGAGGATGAGGAGCATATTTCACATACTAACTCATGTTTCTAACTCTGGTGTTCCTGATAGGCTGCTGTACAACAGCTGCTCAGGTCATCCCAGCTGTTGTGCTCAGGGTTCGCCAGCTGTTCACACTGGAAAACAAAGCAGAAAAAGTACAAAAACAACATAAATGAATGCAGCTCACCAAGGTCACTCTGATATTGTCTTACATTAGTAGGTATGTGACTGTTGTGGTCATAGTTTATTATTAGATACACCTACAGAGGCTTCTCTGTCCCAGTAGTTCATGCAGCTTCTTCGAATATGTGTTTAGAAAGTATTTTTGTAAATACTGAACAGATTCCAATTGAATTAAATACAACTAAGAGGAGTTGTCCCTCTATGATTCACGGGAACTCTTGGATCAGGGTTTGGAGGTTTGGGAATTGGCTCTCTATTCTGTGGCTCAGGAGGTAGAGGGGGTTGTCCACTTGGGTCGTTGACCAGAAAAGCACAGTACAATCCATTTACAGTAACCTGAGGGAAGCATAATATTTTAATAAGCAGAAAGTAAGGAGATGACATAGAACATGTTCATTAGATAGGTTGTCAATACCAGTTACTGTTTTCATCTACCTCCACCTGCTGCCTTCACATCTCTCCTCCTTCCAGAACTGATTGCAGGCATATGCTTCCAGTTGATTGTAAGTGGG